AAACTAATAACACTGAATTGACACAGAGATCTTAATATATATATAAATTAGACTCTGATTATGATAGAAATGAGACACAGAAATATAGTGATGTATACAGAGTAAGCTCTGATAGGGTGATTATACATAAACCCGTTCCTAGCGCACGTCTGCGCAACAGGAAAGGGGGGGGGGGAAAGGGGGAGGAGAAGGAGGTATAAATGCCAATTGCAAGAAGTGAAAAAAAAAATATAATAATAAAGAAATACTAGTAATGGCTATAATAAAATAGAGCAGCCTAAGTAGCGTATTGGGATGTTCCTGTATACAAAATCCTAGTGGGTGTTGCTGAACACACGTAATCGCACCTCTGTGAGGCTGTGAACACACAGACTGCTGCATACAGAGTATATCACAGTATATCGGCAGATAGGAGTTCACAGCAATATCGGCCGATATGGTAAAGGTATATATGTTAATGAAAGTGCCACCCTAAAACTATAACAAGGTAACCCAGTACGTGTAGCTGAATATACGTAAATCGCACATCTATGGAATTGTAACACACAAAGTGTATCTATATCTGGCGGCAAGTATAGTTACTCAAAAATGTCGCCCAAAAGATAAAAGAGTTCGCCTATAGATGCTAAGGATACAGCCCTAAGTTTAAGAAAAAGAGGGGGGTTGCCAGATAGCGCAACACTGTATGATAAAGAATGGCAAACGGATATAAACACTAACTAGAAATGGTAGCGCTACGGCTGTCACTCCACCCCCGTGCCTTCGAGGGCACCTAACGCTCACCCCACTGATAACAAACTAAACCCAAATCAGAGAACGCAAAGATAGAAAGATAAGCTATGATAAGAGAAAAGTGGCATAAAAAAGCCGTGTAGCCCCTGACGCGCGCGTTTCGCCCGCCAAGCTCGTCAGAGGGGAACCGGTCGGGAGAAAAAGCCGGGTTTAAATAAGGAGAAAAGATAACTGATTGGTTGGAAACAGAGTATTCAGATTGGATAGCCAAATATGACGTCAGAGAAGGGGTGTGTTAATACAGCATGAGATATTAACCCTTAAAGAAGTGATGAATTAATCACTGCATATACAGAAAATTATATATATGTAGTGAATGAAATGTGTAATAAATACCTATCAATTATGATGTAAATTTTAGAAAGAACACAGAAAAGATAGTTGTAAAGAAATATACTGTGAATATTGTTCAGGGAGATTAAGCCGAGTTGGAAAATCGCCCAAAGAAAAAGACTAATACTAAGAGGTCGTACCCTTATCAAGGGATGATCGAGGTCTGTTCAGGGTCGTCAAGAAAAAGGGAGAAGCAAAAGGAAAAAAGGGGGTCCATGATGAATAGAAACAACAGAGGAAGAGAATACTACAGATGTAAACCAAAGTGAAAGAATTCCCATCGAGAAATGCTGCAATAATCAGAAACGCTGATATAGTTCAGAGACGACAAATTATAACAGACCAGTCTCCAATTTAGGAAGACATGGGAACGTTACATGATGAATGTAAGTATATATATTATAAGAAACAGTCCCAACAAAACTGGGGACTGTACATATAATATAGACGTTCAAATTAGGAAAACATATAATAATATTGTTAACTTGTATAACACTGTAATCTTACAGTCGTGATGAATAGAAACAACAAAAGAAGGGAATACTGCAAATGTTAACCAGAATGAGGAAATTCCCATCGAGAAATGCTGCAATAATCAGAAACACTGATGTAGTTCAAAGACGACAAATTCTACCCTAACAAACCAGTCTCCAATTAAGGAAGACATGGGAACGTTGCATGATGAATATTATAAGAAGCAGTCCCAACGAACTTTGGTAGTTTTTGGTAGTTTTATGGTGGCACTTTCATTAACATATATACCTTTACCATATCGGCCGATATTGCTGTGAACTCCTATCTGCCGATATACTGTGATATACTCTGTATGCAGCAGTCTGTGTGTTCACAGCCTCACAGAGGTGCGATTACGTGTGTTCAGCAACATCCACTAGGATTTTGTATACAGGAGCATTCCAATACGCTACTTAGGCTGCTCTATTTTATTATAGCTATTACTAGTATTTCTTTATTATTATATATTTTTTTGCACTTCTTGCAATTGGCATTTATACCTCCTTCTCCTCCCCCTTTCCCCCCCCCCTTTCCTGTTGCGCAGACGTGCGCTAGGAACGGGTTTATGTATAATCACCCTATCAGAGCTTACTCTGTATACATCACTATATTTCTGTGTCTCATTTCTATCATAATCAGAGTCTAATTTATATATATATTAAGATCTCTGTGTCAATTCAGTGTTATTAGTTTTTAATTATTTTCAATAAACTTGTTTTTTATTTTTTGGTACCCTGTGGTGCCTCTTAGATGAGCCTGTATTCCACATCTTTAGTGTAGTAGTCTCAGGCATTGACTAGTTCCCTTTTAGGTACACTTTCTTTTTGTTTTGTATCTACTGTTTGGCTATCTTCCAAGAATATTTCTACAACCCGTCCTTCAAAGAGTCCTCTCTTCCTTGGTCCTTTTCAAATTGAATCCATTATTAATAAAAGTGCTATGAAGTTGAAACTCCCTCCTTCACTTAAGCTTCATCCTGTTTTCCAGGTTTCCCTTCTAAAGCCTTTTCTCCCTGATCCCTTCCATAGAGAACAACTGTCAAAGCCTGACACTATCATAGTTCAAGGTGAAATGGAATATGAAATAGAAAAAATTCTTGACTCAAGACTTCATAGAGGTAACTTACAATATCTTATCAAATGGAAGGGTTATGGGACTGAAGATAACACGTGGGAGAATTCTTCTGATCTTCATACAAAAAAGTTGATCTCTGCCTTTCACAAACGCTACCCTGAAAAACCAAGGTAATAGCACGCTGCGTGTGCTCCTTAGGTGGGGGCTCCTGTCAGGCCGTATCTGTTCCGGCGTTTCCGGTATGCAGAGCCAGCCACGCCCCCTTTCTGACGCGGCTCTCTTATGCTATATAGAGAGACCGCACCAGATTCAAACCGCTTGGTGATTCTTGGACCTACTTCCGCATTCAAACGCCGGCTAAGCTCTTCGTTCACAAAGTTACCAAACCTTTGACTATTATAAAGGATTTTGCCTTCTCTGTACCTCTGACCACGGATTGTATTGGAGTCTCCTGAAAACCAGACTGTGTATATCATTCATCCCTTGGATTCAAGCTATACATACCCATGGAGGACAACTCCCATCAATCTTAAGTATACTAATTATTCTGATCTCTGAAGACTTACTTACTAATGAACTGTTTCTTGCTTGCTATAATCTTCAGTTACTTCCTAATGAATTGTTACTTACATGCTATTCCCATGGAGGACAACTCCCATCAATCTCAAGTATACCATTCACTTCCACCTCTGAAGATTTAATTACCAATGAACTGTTTCTTGCTTGATATAACCTGCAGTTACTTCCTAATGCATTGGTATTTGCATGCTATAATTCTCAGTTACTAAAATATTATTGCATTCATTAAGACTTTTTTCACTAACTGCCTGCATGCACCACTTTGCTTTAAAGCTACAGTATCCTTAATAATTCTCAGCTTTCTTGCTATTGTAATTAAGGAGTTCTACAAGCTGCAGTTGAGGTTCAATTCTAAAACCCCTTGTAGCATAACATTTATTTGCTGCCTCTAAGCTCTCTCTCATTATTATGGAGATGTAGTCAACAATATTTGTTTTGCCCAAGATTGCCAAACCTAAAAAAGTAATAAATTAGGGAAAAAAAACACATGAGAATAATTTGGGAGTAACCATAGACATACTATGCAACAATGTTGCATTCCAATCAGAAGTTCCATAGCCCAGTAAAGTACTGTCATGCATACAAAAGGACATTCATTTTTGGGACGAAAATGCAACGTTGCCCCTTTATAACTAAATAGTAAGACCATCCCTTGAATATGCAAAACAATTTGGGGCAACTGTTCTAAAGAAGGATAATATGGCACTATAGAAATGCAGAGGCGGGCAACAAAACGAAAAGGGAAATTGAAGATTTTTTTCTTCCTTTCTGTAATTCTTTATTTGTGCACATTATGACAAGGAGGCTTGTGATGCCACAACAGCGAACACAAGCATGAGGATATCAAAATAGAGGAAAACATCAGTATGGCATGGAGACAATGGCACATTTTTAACAGAAAGAAGAGAATTATAAACAAAATACATGGCATGAGCTAGTCAGACTATATGTAGATCTGAGTGTCTTTTCATTAATAACATGTTTTCTATTGCCAGAGTAGCGAAAATAAGATGAAATACTAGCGATTCTCATAAGATCTACCTGGGTCATGCATGAGTAATTAATGTAAAATTAAATAAAATACAAGCAGTATAACACTGCCTGATGATAGCATATTCCACCAGGAGGTCTCGCAAGCTAACTTGGGAGCAGTGAGATGCCAGTATGAGTAATGTCAGTGCCCTCATCAAAAAGCATATTAAGCTCACTCATCTCCAGTGCCCAATTAGTCAAAGGGCAGCTGTTAAGTATATGGCATAGCCACCCCTGTCCCACTGTCAGGAACCAGGAACCAGACAGAGACAGATCTAGATGCAAAAACACCTTTATTTAATAAATAACAAAGAAATAACCAAAAGCAAAGTCCAGGAGGCAAGCAGGGGTCAGTCACCAGAGCGGGTAGTCAGACGAGCCAGGATCAGGAGAACGGAGAGCAGCGGAGTCAGGAACAAGGCCAGAGTCAGGAACCAGGAGCAAACAGGAAACACAGGAACAAGGAGACTTCTGGGGAACAGGAAACCACGCAAGGGCAAGGAGGTTCTGGGATTTGCTGCTTAAATAGGCTGAACTGATTAGCAGCAGGGTTGATTACTATTCTCAGGTGAGTAACCGTGGCAACATGCTGAAGGAGCTGATCGTTAATTACAGCTGAAACCTCAGACACTGAAAAAGGAAGGGTGGCTGTTTAAAACAGCAAAGAAACCCTGACACCCACATATGCATTGGCAGTAAGTGCAGTAATGAGTGCCCTCATCAAAATACACATTAAGCCTACACATCTCCAGTGCTTAATTAGTTAATTGGTAGCTGTTAATTATAAAGCATGGCCTCCCCTATTCCACATATGTATTGACAGTTAGTCAGAATATGAATTGTTAATAATGAAAAGGAACAAAACAAATACTCAGCAGGTGCTGGAATTATACGTGGTGGACAGGCACTATGCCAGAGATAAAGTCCCGGTTTCCATTCAGCAGATACCCTGCAGAGGTAAAGCAAAGTCCCTGCGTTGTAGACTTTTCAACAGGCTTGGGGACACCTGAGAGCAGTGGTTGTCATAGCATAAGTCCTGCAGGATCCGCACGGACCAACCCTCTGTACTCCAAGCTTGTGGGAAGCCAGAACTGTGCAACAGTGTACTGCGGGATTCAGGAAAGCTGCACTCCGCTGTTTTCATGTCGTGTCCGGTCAGGACGGGGGTATAACATGTGTAGCGTATGATGCCTTGCTCTCGCCATCTTGCGGGGAAACACTCCCCTTCACCTTCTTCGGCCCATCTTGGGGTCGGAACTCGTGCTGTGCGCTGGTGGTCTCCGGTGTGAGACTCCTGCCGTGCAAGGTATTGCTGTTGAGTTAGCTTCAGCCAAAAGTCAGAGAAGAGTTTATCTAGCCAAGATATAAAAGGGACACATGGCATCTGCCATTTTAGGGTAGGCTCCTTCAGACCTGCCCGAAATCTCCCTAGCTTGATGTCGTTGGGGTAGGGCCTCCGAGGTGTGGACCGGGATATCCCCAGCAGGTCCAGAGGAAGGGAAACGGGGCTGCACTATAACCCACAGGGACTCAGCGGCACCCAGTTCTAGCTATTGGCCGCCTTGCCATACCAAAGTGAACACTAGGCCTAACCTGCACCACCGGGGATTACATGAGACTTCAGCCATGGAAGTACACCGAAGGGCCTGGCCGGTGTCAGGATTAGGCAAGTCTCGGCAGACGAACGTTTGGGGGTGATATCAGTCGATTAGACGGCTCAAGGAGAAGTACAAGCTTGGAGTTCAAGTGAAATAGACTTGAAAAAATTATATTTAATTGAAGGCAAATGAAATGGTTCTTTGCAGAAAGAAAAAATAGAGATGTGGAATTCTCTACATGAAGAGCTGGATTTATCAGTCTGTACAGAGTTTTAAACAGGATGAACTCTTGCAAAAACAGAATACTGAGGGGCATAAGATCTAATAACAGCAAGTAGAGATTGCCATTCAGGGGTCTTGCTAATCTCAGTCAATCCAATACTTTCATATAGGAAAGCATTTGGAGGCTATTGAGCAGTCACCGCAAAAGCAGCGCTGCACCAATCGCCATCTTCTCATTGAGATGCATCTCTATGGGGAACGTTCAGCGCCTCCATATAGAGCGTTGAGACACTGAACATGTAGTACTGACCAAGGAGTGGATGACAATGTAAACACTGCCTTTTCTCTGAAAAAGCAGTGTTTATATTGAAAAGCCTGCAGGTACAGACTATACAAACCAGAACAACCACATTAAGCTGTAGTTATTCTGGTGATTATTGTGTCCCTTTAATTGCTTGCAATTCAGAGTATAGCAGACAGTGCTAATCCAAATTTACAGCCCATACAGGTTGACCAGATTTTGGAAATAAAAAACCAAGGCACCTGGTCACCCTGGCTAGAGCCCTCCTCTACGAGACCTGTTGGCTGAAGGTGATGGAGACCAGGCTCACCCTCCATTGTTTCCGGCACTCACCGACCTCTTCATACTTCTCTGCTCCGTAAATGAATCCAAATAAAACCGAATCTGCGTACAATTAAAACCTAGCTGTAAATCTGCGCTGTTCTACACAGCGCCTGTGTTGTCAGTTGGAAAGCAGCCATGCGTTGCATGTCTTACTCCTCTGACACACACCTCTGTCTCTCCCTATTGGTCAGGAAGACTCCGTGTGTCCAATATGATTCTGTCTCCAGCTGAGTATCACTATGCAAGAGACCAGGTATAGCGCGCTTTAAACTTGTTTCAACAAGCCTTCTGCGCTGAATCTTTTCCAGCACTAGCTGCCTTTCAGTCGAAAATCAGGACATTTATGTGTCTAAAGAAGGATTCTTGGGACACTGGGACAAATTGCCGAAAACTGTGACTGTCCTGGTACAAACAGGACGTCTGCTCAACCTGTGCCCATGTCATGAGCTTCCAGACTCATCCAACTGTAAACACTGCCACATTGCAAAAAAAACAAAACAAAACACACAAAGTAAATTGTTGTAGTCTGAGCCAGCAAACAATACAATATGGACACACAAACAGCCCCTCCCTCCACATGCAGCTCTCCTTGACATCTCCCACATGGCCTGCCACACACTGCCCACCCTGCAACCAAGCATGCTGCCAGTGACGTCACACCTCCCTTTCCCACGATGGAAGGCGCGCTCAGCCAATCACGTGCAGAATACTTACAACTACGTCACTTCGACTGCCCCACCCCTCCTCCCTCACGGCGAACCACCAGCCATTAAGGAGAGGGAGGGGCATAAAAAAGTATATTGCATGAGCCCAAAACAGCTCAGCAGGAGGGAGGGTGCGATGACGTAAGTCAACAAAGGTCACGTGCCCGCGGCTCTCTCTCTCTCCCCCCCCCCCCTCATGGATTCGCGAGAGGATGGTGGGGCGTGGCCGTTGCAGGAGGGAGGAGGGGCCGAGCGCGGTGGCGGCGGCGTGTGACACAATTACAACAACTTTGTGGTTAACGGCACGGCTGCCCCTTGCACGAGCGGGGTGGTGGTGACGGTGGCAGTAGTAGTAGGAGTAGTAGGTGGGGGCGCTCTGATGAAGTTTGTAATCGCACCGTGACACAGTGACAGTCAGTCAGTGAGTGAGTGACACGGCCAGCGCTGTGTAAACACCATGTAAACAGCGAGCAGGCACACACACACACCGAGTATTCCCGCAGGTCCCGGCATGCCGTGCGCGGCTCTCCGTGAGGGGCCCGGCCGCTGTGAGTGAGCGAGCCCCCGCTCGGGCCAGGCACACACATTGTGAGGCTGGAGGAGGAGGAGGCTGGCACAGAGCGGTTAATATCGCCCTCCCTCTCTCCCATTCCCCCCTCCCCTCCTCCCCCAGCCAGCCAGTCCCCGCCGCTCCGGCCGCCGCACTCCTCGCTCAGCCCGGGCTCCCAGTGACGTCGCTGCGTTTCCATGAAATCGTGCGGAGTGTCGCTCTCCGCCGCAGCTCTGCTCTCTGCTGCCACCGCCGCCGCGACCGCCTCCCTCGGTGATGAGGAAAAGAAAATGGCGGCGGGAAAAGCGAGCGAGAGCGAAGAGGACTTCCCCAACCTGACAGCGGACGAGAGAGAAGCCCTGGCCGGGCTCGACAGGTTGGGGGACCCCCTTCCCTTTATCACCACCCGCCCCCCAAACCCTAACACGAGCCCCCGCAGGCACCCCCAATACTAACTGCCCCCCGATTAGTAACCCCCGGCCTTGCTGCCGTCCGCCCCCCTCCCCCCATTATTATTATTATCGTTATGTGTGATTATTGCTAGTTTGTGACAAGTTACTGATTTTACATTCTCTTTGCCTTTCTCTCTCTCTCTGGCTCCTGCTCGCACTGTCCTGGCTGCAGCCGACTCTATGGATTTTTGAGGCTTCATGAAGATGGCGCCAGAACGAAGGCCTTGCTTTTAAAGGTAATGTGACCAGAGGACAGATGGGATCATGCAATCACAGTGATTTGTGGTTATAGTGTGCCCTGTGCAATTAGCTCCTTATTACCCGCTGAACATGCACTCTGGCCTTGTGCACCCTAATTGTATGGGGTACCTGCCTTGGTCCCCCCCACTATTTCTAATAAACACTTTTTCAAAGTATCCTTTAGAGGGGAGTTTGCATTACATTTTGAAGTATCTCATTTTGTGTAGTTTGTTGCAGTGAAGCTCATGGCATGAGTGCAATGCCCACTGTAATACCCTATGTTAGCAGCCCTCTCATCATGGCACACCACCACTGCAACCACTTCACTCCTTTAATGTTTATTATGGCTTATTATCAACTTATTGAACTCTTTGTCGGTTTCCTTGGTGCCTAGGAGACCTTGCATTGTCACCAGTGCTCCCATGGAAGGAAAGGGGTGGTTGTGTATAAAGAAGGGGGGCTCTGTGTTTTTGTTCTCATGCCTGTTTGTGGATAATGACATAAAAACAAACGTCAGGGGGAACTGAGGGGGGGCGGTATTGAAAAAGAAATGATCCCTCTTGTGTTGTATGTTGGCTATTTAAATGCGTGGTTTGCAGCACTTTTTCAGGGTCTGCATGATATTTTAGGTCAAACGATAGCACTGTGTTAAACTTATATTGACCAATTAAGGCGTGAGAAATTCTGTTGACCATTTTTAGTACTGTTTAGGATTTGGTAGAGAAACGTCATTTTAATGTACAGACCGTCATTTATTTTGTGAACTGTTTACTGCTAATTGCTGCAGATTTCTTGCAGCGTGGAAGGGGTTAATCTAGTCGGGGGGGGGGGGGTGCTTGTTGTTGCTGCTGCACCCCCCACCGCCATGCAGCGCATCATCACTGCAGGAAGGATAGGAGGCTTGTTCTTTGTCGACTTTGCTGCTGCAATGGCAGTTTTTAGACCTATTGCAACCTCTGTAATCTTTTATCTACTTGCTCCTATTTTTATTCATTTTTTATGTTGTTGCTCCGTTAGAAGTTGTCGCTTCCCTATAACTACCATTGTACATCCCCTCCTTGTCATTTAGTTTTTAAGTAATGGCTGCTCCTCCCGGCCCAAGATGGCGGGACAGGGAAGAGGGGAGGGGAGAACGAGAGAGAGAAAGGAGGCACTGGCAATAGATTAAATGTTGGTTTGTGATAATGCACATGCAGTGTTTAAAGCCCCCGATCACTCATTGTGTGGCACGACATAGTGTGCGGTGCACACGTGAGAGGGCAGCCAGCTTGATCTGTGTGTTTTGTCGTTCAGCACCGCGTCTGCACCGCTCCTAATTCATATCAACCTGTAGCTCTTAATGAGTGTATTGCTTGTATGGCTAAACAAAGCCCAGGACGAGCCGGATTTATAGTTTATCTTATGGCTGTTTTTTATATAAATGTTCCGCTTGGTTTAAATGTCTTGCATGGTTTCTGTTCGATGTGCTCTGAATTGCTCTCACAAAGTCTGAGTTTGACATTTCTGTCTACATAATAGCAGTGGTAAGAAATGTACACAGCAAATGCAACAACATACTTTTGGATTTCATGGCTGTTTTTCTTCTTCTTTCTGATTTTTGATGTATTGTCCGTTTAACCACACTGTCCAAACTTTTAAAAGTTACATTTGACATCTGAAACTCAATTATACAAATGTATAATTATTTGCTAACTGTAAATGCAATACACATAATTTTCGCAGCACATGGGGTTTCTATTGGAGATGTTTACTCCATTTCAAATTACATAAAATATTTAGTATATTGTACTTTTTGACAATTGTTCCTGAAGTTACTTTTTGTAGTGGCTATTTTTATTAGGTTCATACAGATTAATTTTTAGCTGATTTTTATTTATTTCATATTTGTGTTTTTTTTGTTGTTTTTTTTCTTTTCCATCTTTGTTTAAAACTATTTTTTTTGGGGGGGGGTGGGTATTTTTTGTTAAAAATTTTTTTGGTATCCTTTATAGAAAGTGTTTGCACTTTTTTTTTTGTATCTTCTTGTTTCTTTAACGAATTTAATATATTTGTATTTATTTGAAAAATTTTGTGAATAAATATTGTTTTATAAAGAAATGGTATGGTGAGCTTTTATATTTCTTAGTAAATTATAATTTACCGCTTTTATTTTCCAATACAAAACGAGATGTAATTCACAACTATAAAAAAAAAAAAAGTAATTATCTTTATGTGGTCTCTGTTTTGCAGTATTTTTCTCTTTAGTCTATTCCCCTCAAATAAATGACATATTTGTATGCATATGAACTGAGTTATTTGAGTTGCTCAAGTCAGAGGAACAGCTTTATTATTTTTGTAATATAAAAGCATGTAAAACTTTTTAAATTCTAACACTTTTTATGCAGTTGGGTACCTTATGCCAAGTATTCTTACATTTTTGCTTTTTCTCTTTTAATTTAAGAGAAAATACATTACATGAATTGCTGGAGTAATGCCTCACAGACTTAGAAGTAACTGAAATCATTCAGATAATTGTATCCACTACAATGTTACTTTACTGATAGGGTAGTGGATGCTTGGAATAGCCTTTCTGCTGAAGTGGTAGAGGTTAACACAGTAAAGGAGTTTAATGTGTGGGATAGGCATAAGGCTATCCTAACTATAAGAAAAGGCTAGGGAATAATGAAAGTATTTAGAAAATTGGGCAGACTAGATGAGCCGAATTGTTCTTATCTGCCGTCACATTCTATGTAAGGACCTCCAGCGTCAGATTTTCCTCATATGAAAGCATTGATTCAATGCTTTCCTGTGGGAAGGTCTAATGCGCGCGCGGCATTTGCTTTGCCACAAATGCACATTAGACCAGTGCGCGGGGGGGGGGGAGCAGAGGGATTGGTAGTGCCAGGAATACAGCTTAGTATTCCTGGCACTACAGTATTCCTCAAACACATGGGTCTAGACACAAATTTGCGTCCCATTTTATTGGTTTTCTACTGGATGGAACATGCTCTTCATGTTTATCAAGCCACAGATAATTAACAATAAATTTTCTTTAGCAATACTGCCTTCCTGATTGCCATGGAGACCCCACCTGTCACTGGTAGGAATTTAATATG